CGATTCGAATGTCGAACAATTTGGTTAACTTGTTTAATTGGAATGGTGGGAAGAGTATGGTCATAAGTTTAATAATTCGATTTAAAAGAAAATAAAATACTAAAAATTTTTAATGTCAAAAGTGAAATTTGACAGAGATAGTAGTAAAATTTGCAGAAGACAAAGCATTAAAAATTTCCGGTAACTTCCTATGCGGTCCGATGCAATATTGTATATCACTTTATATCATCGCAAACATATCTAAATTATTATGGCTGTTATATCTAATTGCAAATATCCAAAAAGAGTTTCCAATAAGCAAATATGATTATTTGATCTTTATTAACATTTGTTAAAGAGATTTAACTAGTTTTTTCTTATTTATTATTTCTTTAATTCAATGTTGTATTTTTTATTTGCAAGCTCGGTTATTTGTGCGCAATAAAATTGGTTGAAGAGTTTGATAAGCCCATACATTTTTTCCTCCCAAAATGTTTGCTACCTTAATGGAATTATAGATGCTACAACCATCTACTATTAAACTCGCTTTGTGAGTACGCAAAGTGGGTACTTTGTTTATGAACCAAGTTTAAAGTTATATAAAATACATCAAATTTTATTACCTTTAATACAAAAGTTTAAGGTTGGGTATTGCGGTTTATCCTCTTCCGGCTAGTTGCTATGTAAAGGCCACGTACTCGGGCCCGCGAAGGCAAGTTCAGCTTACTAAAGAGCATCATTACCCACTTCGCTGATTAAAAGTAAGTGAGTTTAAGAAGAATGAAGTCCCAGTAGACACGTACGTAAAAAAGACGTTTTTTAAACGTCATATACACGTTTTGAACGTCTTTTGAACGTTTTGGACTTCTTTTGAACGTTCAAAAGACGTCTTGTTTTGGTCCGGTGCCCACTGGGGTAAGTTAGAGTTAGAGTCAGAAGAAATTAATTTAGAAAGAGAAAAGCAGACAGATATTACAGAGATAAAGCAGACAGATATTACACTGCAAGTTTGAATGTGCAACTCATATTATTGATTAGTTTACCTAATTAATGTATTACTATAAATGTAATCATCATTGCTGATGACGTTTATTTAAACTTGATTGTTAAGAGTGTGTAAAGTGTTAATGTAAACACACTATAATAGTTGAAGGTTGTAGAAATATTAACTTAAGTACAACCTTAGAAACATCACAACCTTTATTATATATTTTACTTCCGCTTAGCGTGTTTTTTTACCACAATTGTTTTTCCGATAATTTCGTTGCATACGTGTATAGGCTTTGATAACTTAGTTAACCACAAAGTACGTGTTTTGGTTAATTAAGTTATTATAGCCTAATTTGTTTTAATTAGTTAACTTACCACAACTTAATGTGTTTCCGTTGATTTTTACCACAATCAACTGTTGATTAATATTCTCATACAACTCTATATTTAAATCTTTTGGTTTGATCAAAGTCTTTTGATTTGAAATAGTTTTATTGGAATATAGTTGTTAAAAGTGAAAACTTCAAATTAATTTTTTAAATTCTAAGCAAAAAACAATGTTTCAAAAGCACAAAAACAAAACAATATCATCTAACGGACGCGTGCAGAGATTTTCGCCAATTAATATAAATTATTTCTATTTTGATTCAAGATTACGCATTTATTATGATTTCTATTTTTACTTCTACCAAATTACTTCGTATTATGTCTAATTTATGACTACCCGGTGGGAAATGAGCTAGCGACTAGCTAGCTCTATAGCAATTTTCTAGCGATTTTTAGTGTTGAGTCTGTTATAACTATGAACGTGATTGAACTTTAAACATTGCGATTTTGTAGCAATGTGTCGCTAACTACATATCGTAGCTTTGTAGCTAGCTACAAAATATTTGCAAATCTATAGCTGGTTGATAGCTACATATCAAAATTTTTTAGACAACGATTTTATTACGATATGACGCTAGGTACAATAGCCAGTGGATCTTCAGCTTGTTATGCTAGCTGTCCTCGTAGACAAATCGCTGTCTTTATCTTTAAAAATATCGATAGCTTTTCGCTAACTTAAAAAAGCTAGCGATCCTCGTGGCCAAATCGCTGTCTTTATCGTAACGATTACAGCTAGCTATTCGCTAGCCGATTTCCCACCGGGTATTTGAATAAGATATATTTACACTTGAATCAATCAATTCGAATTTAAATCATTTCTTAGATTTTTTTTTTAATGACTTTTTTGTTTAGCTTTTTAAAAATTTATAATGCACCTTACATTCTTTCTTATGTCAGTAGTACCCAAATTATGACTACTTTCCTAAATTGTTGAGGTTATAGAAGTTTATTTCAAGCTCTATTTTCATATTGTTTTTATCTTTTTTATTAATGATTCTTATGGGTATGTGGAAGAGCAACTTTAATGAATTAAAATTTGTTTTATTTTTAGATAGTTATAATACTTAATATGTTTAATTTGTTAAGATAATTAGTTCTTCTTTTATTACCATTACTTAAAAGTTCTGTTAAAGTATATTGTATAAATTGTGCTATGATAACAGAGCGCCCCACCTTTTGAGCAGTTTTTTCTAAAACACAATTAAAGTAAATTATATTATATACAAAAGTAATATACGAGCTAAATAACTAATGTATAATAAACATTAAAAAAGAAAACTTCACTGGGACACTAATAATTTATTAATAATTTTTCTACTCCGCTAATTGTAAATGTAAAATGTAAATATTTAAATAAACACACACATACTTAACAGATAATTAAAACAATTGATTAATAAACTTTTAATATACAACAATTTTAAAAAGCTTCAAAACTAAATATTTAGTTATGAATATTTTAAACACTCAAAAAATAAAAGATTATAGATTGTAAACCTTTCACATAACTTTTTTGCCTTACACTAAAAACTTTAAAAACACTAGATTGAATTTTGTGAGCACTTAAAAAGTTTTGAACAAGCTCAAGCTGTGATTTAAGTAGAAATAATATTATAAAAAATAATATGCGCCCAAAACAATTTTATTAACACACATTTATATTCGTCGAAAAAGAAATAACTTATATTATATTTTAATTCGAGAAAATGCTTACAAAATTTCTGTAAACGCAAACACCCAGCAAACTCATGACAACTAAAAAACGTCTTTTAAACGTAAATTTAGTCAAAACGATATTTAAAAGATGTTTGCTGGATAATACTAACAACAGCAAACGCGAAAACGTAAATAGATTTTTATTCAATGGATTTGTAAATGCTTCTCCTTTTCATTAACTGACTACTGGATTTACGTTGCTATTAAGTTTATCAACATGTGGACGTATAATATCCAATAATAATAAAAAAAAACAATTATTTGAATAAATAGTTTGAAAATTACAAAGAGGCGTTCATTTTTAAAGATTACATTTTTAATTGAATCAAATTGTTTCTGCTATAGTTTAGATGAAACGCCTCTCGGTTATTAATAACTTTTTACTTCAAATATATTGTTGTTAATATTATTTTTATTAACTTTTATATTGTTGTTAATTTATTACATATTAACGCAGTATATAAACAGATTAACTTTAAACGAAAATATCGACGCGTGTTTCGTTGTGTCGTATTGTTGACGTTGTGTCATACTGTTGATGTCATTTTCAATAATAAATATCAATCTTTTTATTTAACAAAACCTAAAGTGTGGGTTGAGCTAAATAATATACTCCGGCTATTTATAACCGTTATTTTTGTAATATTATAATCAACAGAATTAAATCTTATCGTTTACTCCACAAATAATTTTAAATTTAACATTTTACTCATACTTTAATTTAAATAAATATGGCGGAACTTTAAAAGCTATATATAAGTTGAACTATATAGTTTAAGAACTATGTAACTCGGCTGAAATGCAATTTAGGAAAGTAAATTTACTGCTTAATATTGTTGATAAAATTTTACATTCCGTATCCTCCATTTAGTTAATAAGAAATTGTCTTTAAATTTTATTATTAAAGCTGTAATATATATATATATATATATATATATATATATATATATATATATATATATATATATATATATATATATATATATATATATATATATATATATATATATATATATATATATATATATATATATATATATATATGTGTATATATATATATGTGTATATATATATGTATATATATATATATATATATATATATATATATATATATATATATATATATATATATATATATATATATATATATATATATATATATATATATATAATTTCATTGATTTTTAATGCCGTATAAATCATTCAACTTTATCCTATTAAAATGAGGATTTATGAGTCATTTATCACTACGTAAATTAACCGCAGGAATGCGAATGCAATTTGCTACGTTAAAAACAATATTAGAATGAAATTTGAATACAAGTTTGTTTTTAAAAAATTGTGATTTTTTAAAAAAAACAAGTTTAAACAAAGTATTATTCTCCAATTTTTTTTTAGTTATACGAATATATTTTACATGCATATAAATAGGCATGTAAAATATATTCGTTTGGTTAAATATATTTTGATTTTAATCCATAATTTTAAAACATATATGCAAGTAAAAAGACGATCATAGAAAATGAAGAACTTTTCAAATAGAATGTTTAAAATGAAGCATCGGCGCTACAACGATATAACGCAAATACTACCCCCCTAATTTAATATCCAAATTTGTAAATGGCGCCTATAAAACTTATTCGAATAATCGGTATAATCAAACCTACATCGGCACTGCGTCTGAGAGTCTTTAGACGATAAGTTCTTTAAATGTAAACATTCAAAATACTTTATATTTTAAATTGCTAATCTTTAAAAAAGTGTAAATATTTAAATTACTAGATTTTTTAAAAATTGAATATTACATTTTCCAAGCTGTTTTCAAATTACTAATAATTAACTATAGTACATAGTTAGATTTGTTAGATAAATATCTTTGTAACTGGTAATTAACTTTTAATTTCAAAATATAGCGGCTCATAATAAGATAAACAACAGTGTGCTTCGTAAAAAAACTTTGCTTCACAAAATATTTTTTCAACCATTCAAACGTAATTGAAGATTAAACGCCAACTTCGCTTATAAAGGGCATTTATTAAGATAACTCTCCCTGCGTATTTGTTACAAAGGTAAGCCGCAAAAATGTCATCTATCTGATTTTACACCCCCGTCAAAAAATTTGCTTAAAAAAAAATTTGAAAACAAATTATTATAATTTTTTTTGATGAAGTGGGATTGTCCAAGTCGTGCATGTTTTCATTACTCTCTCGATATAGTTAAAAGTCTATAAATTACGCGTTATTATTCCAAGTTTTTTTTAGGTTTATTGAATCTTTATTACAACCGCAGATTTTTATATTAATTTATTTACTGTCTGATACAGTCGAAATATAGCTATTGACTTCTATATATTATATATTATCTACTCTGATTCCTTCATGTAAGCTATATTTTTTCAAATGGACATTGATTCGTGGCCTGCTTCAAGTAATTCTTTCGATGCTTACGATAACAAACCAAGCGAAGAGTTTATTAAATGTGTTGTTGTTGGTGACACTGCAGTTGGAAAAACGAGACTTATTTGTTCTTACATATTTGATCAGCCTCCAACGTCTATTCAATCACTTCATTTGAAACCTCACATACCAACTGTATTTGCAATTGATCAATATGTAGGAAATTCTGATATAAGGAAAAGAGGAAAAACTGTTATTGATGGGGTAAATGTTGAGTTACGCATTTGGGACACTTTTGGTGATCATGAAAAAGACAGAAAATATGCGTACGAAAATGCGCATGTTGTTGTTGTTTGTTTTAGTATTGGAATGCAATCTTCATTGATAAATGTTAATGCAAAGTGGGTTCCTGAAATTAAAAAGTACTGTCCAAGAGCTGCAATTGTTTTAGTTGGAACACAACTTGATAGAAGATATACTAACCCTGAAATGTATAAAAATGCTTTACAGGTCACTACATTAACAAATATATTAAATACAGGGGGTCGTTTTAAACTTCATTCTGGATTTTCTATGTCAGACATTATTTATGCTGAAACTGCAAGACAAATTTCTAAAGAAATTAAAGCAGCTTGTTACATAGAAGTAAGTGTTGTTTCGAAACATGGAGTCAATGCCGTCTTTGAAAACTCTATTCGAGCAGCATTAATCTTACGAAGAAATTCTAAACTAATTTTAAAATCGCATCTTAAAAATATTAAAACTCCACATATACAAGAACCTTACTTACCTCCATGTCCTGAAGCACCTGATATAAATATCTTAGCTGAGGGTGAAATGTTTGATTTCAGTTGCCTTCATTCTGTTAGCAGTTTTTGTGATATTGAATTTATTGTTGAAAATGAACATCTTCATGCGCATAGTGTTGTACTTATTTCTGCAGATGAAGTTTTCCAATCCCTTCTAATGCATCCTTTTATTCTTGACCTTTTAGGATTTCCAAAAGGTAAAAATATTCAAAACTTTGAAAGCTTTTCTTTGGAGTATGCACCAATTAATGGTGTTTTATGTTATGGTATACCACGAGGATTTTCCTCTATCAGTGTAGTAACAGATTTTAATCTGAAAAGAAAAGTTACAGTAAATGTTAGTCAAGTAACAGCTGTCAGTTTTCGAAATATTTTAGAATTTGTATACTGTGGAAGTATTTCAAATATTAAAGATTCAGCTCAACTTTTAACCAATGCAACATACCTTCAACTCAGTATGTTGTGTAATTATCTTACCAGTAGTATTGAAGAAAGTTCTCAATTAAAAAACACATTTTACCAAATGCTGTTTAAAAAGCGAAAAAAAATTCTTTTAAATTTTGTTTTTAACAAATCGTTGTATTCTGATATTTCGTTCTCAATGGAAGGTGCTCTTATTCCATCACATAAACCACTCCTTGTTGTGCAGTGCAATGTAATGGCAGGAATGTTTCGAAAAAAAACATTTAAAGAAAGCATTACTCATGTTGTAAGTAAATTTCTGTATTTTTAAATATTTATCTAGTGTAAATTTTATTTGGTATATAGTTTTTATATAACATACTACCATTACAAAACTCATTTTAATGTTGAAATTCCATTTTTCACAAGACATGAAAATTCTGTTTTTATTTAATTTATCTTTCTAGTTTCAATTAAAATGATTTTAAAAACCATTTGAAAATGAGGGCTGGGGTGAATACTTTATTACATTAAAAGAAAATTACCAGAACATTCTGTTTTACTAATTGTGACATCTATTCTATTTTACTAAATTTGAAACTTAAATTAAAAATATCAAAATTAGTAAAGTAGTATTTCAGCTATAATACATTTTAAATTTTTGATATCCAGTTTGAATTACATTTAAATAAAGTTAAGAAAGTATATAAAACATTATTCTGAATCAGCATAAGTTTAAATATTTTATTTTCATTGAAGCTTTTGAGTAACTTTATGGAAAATTTTTGTTTTATACAATTTTTTATTGTTCCTTATATGAAGGTTGTTTTTTTAAACTTTTTTTTTCTTTTAGGTGGACTTTAGCAATTGTGACAAAGAATCTTTTATGACAGTTCTTGAATATCTTTATACTTGTGATCTTTGCAATCATGGGGACTTACACAATGTGTTACAGCTTGCTAATTTTCTTTGTTTACCCCGTCTAATTACATTATGTGAACTAGAACTCACAAAAAAAATTACAGAAGTCAACAGTAATCAGTGTGATGAGGCTTGTGCTTTAGTTTTAGGTATCTTTTTAATTCTGGAAGCATTTTTAGTTTATGGTAGTTTCCATATTTAAAAATTGTTTAAAATTGCATCACTTATTTAAAAATGTTCATTTTGAAATTATGTTATGATTTTTTTTGGTTTCAGATACTTTTATTTTTGCAAAGTTTCATAATGCTGTTCAATTATCTGATTGGTGTTTATACTTTATGGCTAGTAACTACAATAAAATGTGTCAGTATCAAGGAAGAGAAATGAAAGCTTTGGATGAAACCACTAAAAACTATTTAGAAAAAAATCGTTGGCCTCCTGTTTGGTATTTGAAAGATCAAGATTTATATGAGCGGTGTATGCAAAAGATTGAAAAAGAAAACACTTTTAAAATATCAAAAGAACGAAAGGAATCTAGATGCTTTTCATTTTTTAAAAATCTTTAAATTTTATTATTGATCATGTGAAGTTTATAAGTGGCGATGAATTACAAACCTGTTTCATTTAAATTATAATGGGTGCTGTCATAATTATGTATTCATTTGTTGTACAGTTTACTCATGTATTTTTAACAACTGCGTAATTGCTAACTTAGTTAAGTTATTAATCCTCAGTAATGGATACTAATTATTAATTTTGCAAATTAATTATATTTAAAATCAAATTATGTATATATCTGGTGTCTATCATCGTTTGGTAAATAACCAACTAAAATCATTATGTATATATTTGTGTATGAAATGTTGTGTATAGAGTAAACGTCTAATTATTATACAAATAGATGAAATTTTAAAAATTCATAATTCTACAAAAAGTTAAAACCATTAGCTGACTTACTAGAAATAGTTTGTAAATATTTTGTGATTTTTTTTTTTCTTTGCTTGTAATATTTTCTTTTTAATAAGTTTCTTTTTCCTAAATAATTAAAAAACTTCTTTGTAGAGTTTATTTTTTACTTTTATTATTTTGTTTTGTTTGTTGATAAATAATGACAATTTTGTTTATAAATGACGACAGATAAGAAGTCTGTGTAAATAAAATTCTGTATACATTATTTAAATATTTGCTTAGTTTGTACATATCTTTTGCTTATATTGTTTTGATATTAAGTTATATATAAATTTCTTGAATATATTGAAAAGTAAATTATAGTTATTTATATTCCATATGTTAATTAATTTTTTTAAAAGTTTTCAATTAAAATGTACATTTTTAAGTCTTGTTTTTTGTTTTGTCCTCATATAATAAACCAGTCCCAGTAAATTTTACAAATAACTTAATTTTTTTTTTTTTTGTTTGAGAATTGTTCTATTACTTTAATTAAGAAAAAAAAAGCGAAAAAAAAAATTTTTTTTTTCGTAATTAAAGTAAGGAATGGAATAATGTTCTTTAGTATCACTGCCATAATACGTTATTTCAAGTAGGATGGCATTTTGGAATTTGTCACATTTTTTTGAGTGTCAATTATAGAAAAATATAGAAAAGAAGAAGATTACTAAGGTTTAATCTTAATAGGTAGAAATAAAACCCTCCGGTCAAGAAACAAATTTTTCCTCGGAAAAAAACATAAAATTGTCCAGTCTGTTTTAGGCACTAAAATTCCAGGAAAAAAAAACAATAGCTAGCGAGGGAATAGTTCGTCAATTTGAACTTTTTGTCGGAGGCGTTAGCAATCAAATAAATAAAGAGGATTTAAAACTCTATATAAAAACGGAAATAAGTGTCACAGCCATATCAGTTAATTTAAACAAAGACAATCAGTACAACAGATCTTACAAAGTTTCAATAAACAGCTCTGGCAAAAACAATATATTTAACCCGCTCTATGAGATAACAATATAAGCCGTTTCGAAAAAAGCGCTTATATTCAAACATTGCCCAAAATCTGGAAACCAGGAAGCTTTCTATAAATAAAAATGGATTCAGACAGCGCATTAATGAAAAACATGTTTCCGATAACATTTAATATATGTACATAAATTAACTTGTCAAAAAAAAAATGTTTTACATATTTTATAGAAAAAGTTGATTGATGGAGCCATTGGCTCCATCACAAAATGAGCAAACCCTGTATTAAGAGTTATTACTTCAATGGTTTCCAAAAAGATCATAGATCAACTAATACTTTTGTTTCGCCATCAGGGTTTAATAATAAAAATAAAAAAGGTTATTCTAATCTATCGTCAACTGTAAAACCACTTATTTTATTTGAAATTTAAAAAAATTTACATCATCTGGAAAATATGTCTGATGTCGATGAAAGCAAGGACAAATGTTATGAAGATATAAAATCTAGTTTGACGACAACAATTTCAGTCTTGTTATTTAAGAAACAGTACTTTTTCTAACTCAATTGAAATAGATTGAGCTCAGCCAGCTTTGCATGAACCTCTTATTTTATCTCCATAATTCCAATTTTAATTCATTATAAATATGTCACTGTGGACCAGAGATGAGATTAGGTTTAATGGAGTGTCACTCAAGTGAAACCTTTTTTATTTAAGAGTATTTGTATTATAACAATAAAAAAAAGATTTTTTAAAACCCGAATAAATTGCTAAGGGTCATAAATGGGGCAAAAGGGTAAACACAAGGGGGGCATAAGCCCATTTATGTGTGCTAGTTGCAAATTACAAAAAAAAAATTAATCAAGAGTATTTGTTTCATAAAAATAGAAAATAGCGTTTTTAAAGTTAAAAAAAAAATGCTAAGGGTCACAAATGGGGTAAAGGGTAAAATTGAGGGGGACATAAGCCCATTTTACCATTTTAGGTGCCCGTTAAATTTTTTTTTAAAAAATAAATGTCAAATAAGTTAAACAAAATATTAGGCAACAAAAAAAATTTAAAATTTTATAATATTACTGTAAATATTTTACATAATCTAACACAAAGTGAATAATTGTTCTTCCGGGTCTTGAGCAGTATGTCAAAGTTAATGATAAATTAAACTCTTCTTCCATTAAAAGTAAAATCAGAATTCTTCTTTAGGTTTAAAGCTTCTTCATGTGTGTTCAAATTTAAAATAAACTCTCCACATTGTTGAGCAAATTGTCTTGAATAGACAGAAATTAGTATTCAAATACTACTTTACGTCTTAGTTTCCTCAGCATAGACCTATATTTTAGTGTATAAAATACATTAAAATAGTTAAAAACTCTTGTTTTGTACTAACTCTTTTGAATAAGAACAAGTTATTATTTGCTTTATTAAAATTTATTCGGATTTTAAAAAATCTCTTTTTTATTGTTATAATACAAATACTCTTAAATAAAAAAGGTTTCACTTGAGTGACACTCCATTAAACCTAAACTCATCTCTGGTCCACAGTGATGTAGATGAAGACTCCACGGGAAAAAACGGCAGGGTTACATTTTGAAAATTTTGACTTTTTTGATTTTCTAGCTTTATAAACTACAGAACCATCTTTTGTATTTGATTTTGAATCAAATGATTGATTTTATGTATATTTAAAGTTTGATGGAATTATGCCTCTCTTCTTTAATATACAAATAGTTACCTCCCCGAAAAAATAAGTTTTTAAACAATCGAAACTCACTAAAAGTCATAAACCAAACACTACTCTGTATTATCAAGACTCAGATTGAAAGATCCTAGTCCTTTTTTTTTAATAATACTCGCAGATGATGCGGTTAATGTTTATTACTAAAAATGGCGACATTTGAATCAAGTAAAAAAAAAAAAAAAAAAAAGAAAAAAAAAAGAAAGATTTCGCGAAAGTATAAAAAAACAAAGGCTAGCCCTCATAAAACAGGGCTTAAATGTAACTGTAAAAGGTTGAATTTCTTCAAAATTGTTAAAAGAAAAGAAATAACTGTTTTTTTAAGTTACTTTTACTAAAAAATTACTGATTTAGTTTATGAATTAATAAAAAAACGAAAACAGTCGTTAAACCGGGGAAAAAACAGTAGGGTCCAAAAAAAACTTCACTTAAAAAAGATCTAAAATAAAAGTTATTGTACGTGACCTGGAAATATAACTTTAATTGCCAAAAAAAAAGGTTACTTTTGCAAAATACTTTACAAGTTTACACTTTTTTTCTAAAAATTAAAAGGTTATATAGAATTTAAAGTTTAATATTGAGTTTTCTCAAAATGAAAAAGTATGACCCTGCCGTTTCTTCCCGTGGAATCAAATGCTAAAATATATAAACTAAAACTTTTAAATAAAATTAAGATTAAATAATTGACATAATAGTCTGAGCATTGATCACTGTTAAATTTGTGGTACGTTGTTTTGAGACATATATAAAGTTTTTTGATGGTTCCTATCGTAAAATTACCTGAGGAATCCAAATCCGTTGGGATTTGGATTCCTCAGCCAGACGCTATATGCTGGGCATTTTACGGTAGCCGCCTTTTTTCCCAAGATGGCGTCCAAAATTACAAATTCTCCTAAATCGACTTGTAATCGTCATACAAAGCTATATAATGTCTTCAAACTTACATAAATAGTATGAAGCATTTCTATCTAACATTGTATAATCTGGTTTAAATTTAAATATCTTGTACTTTATCTACATTTGCAAATAAACTGATGACATTCATAATTATAAATTTTAACATTAAAAAATTATAATAAAACAGAATGATAGAAATAATAGCACCGTAACGCTTAATTTGAATACATCACAGATTTTTCAACCTAATATAACTTTGTAAGTAACTATATAAAATTGTATTTAGAATATTATCAATAACAACAATAATAATAATATTAAAGATTTATTAGTCTTAACATGGTGTGAATTTCGTTTCAAATATAAAAAATCTTAATATAAATTCTTTATGGAGACATGAAATATACAATTTATTATAATAATAAATTTATTTTAACTTAATAATGTTATTATTTATTATTTACTATAATTTTTAATCAGTAGCGTAACTTCAAATTTTGAGCCCCCTCCCTCCAGAATATTTTTTAGGCCCCCACAACAAAGAGGAAAAAATAATTTTTATATAAATATATTTATTGAAAAAACTGTTGCTCAATAGAAATCAAATAAATTTATTACAGTATATGTAGAATTGTAAATCTATCCTCTTTCCTGGTTCTTAATGAAAATACAATGTCTATCTGGGCATTATCACTCGGATTTATTAGACAGCTAAAACACAACTTAGAATCAATGAATGATTTATTCAAAGAAAAATAATGGTCTCTTACAAAGAAGAAACAAAACCATATTTGCTAAGCAATGAACAAGATCAGGCTAGCATTAGGGAAGCAATAAATGAATGCATAGATGTTTTTGATAAGACTCGCCATCCTGCCAAAAGTCATGTGAACATATTTTCTGGACAAATTGTTGATGATCCATCAGTTAACGTATATGACTCCATTCAGATTGGTACTGCTCAATGGCAGGTGTACGAGAATAGCTGGCCAGATGGGTTCCACAACCTTTTAAAGAAATCGATAAAGTTGATGGCAGCAGCCACCAAGAAAAAAGTAATACTTGGAGATAAATTAGAAATAGTTCAACCCGATTTTATTTATGCTTGCGCAATTGATCTTATGGCTTCTTCAAGAGAAGGTCTTTCTTTAGAAACACTTTATAAACACGAGTTTTCTCCCATACCAGCCTTGCTTTTTAATGATAGTGGAGAAATGCGAAAGACAAACAAATCAGTTCTCAAAGCAAAGGTGAAAGTGGACTGTGGAACAAGAAACACAACACAGTCCAAGGTTATCATTATTGACGGTTGTGCTCTACTATGGGCAGTGGCCTGACCGTCATCACCTGCTAAGGTGTCAGATTATGTGACAGCAGTGGTAAAAAGCATTAAGCGTCGAGCTATTGAAAGCAGAAATATGCATGTTGTTTTTGAT